GCCTCCCCAGTAGCTGTACAGATGCCTGCCACAAGGCCCAGCTAATTTTTCTATTTTTTAGCAGAGACCGGGTCTCACCCTTACTCAGACTGCTCTTGAGCTCAAGAGATCCTCCCTGCCTTGGCCTCTTATAGGCATGGGCCATCCCCCACCCCAGGCCCAGAGGTGTTTTCGTAAAGCTCCAGGCCATTCTCACACACAGCCTGGGTGGAGATGGGCTGAGAAGCAACAGTTAAGACTGTTGCACAGAGACACTTAGAGAAAACACATCTGTGTTTTCTGTATATTGAGCTGTGCTACATTTCACAGCCATAAACTTCCAGCTGCTTTTTGAAAAAACCCAGAGAAAATTATTTAAGGCTCAACAGAATTTCTTTGCCACTGAATGTTTCAGCCATCTCTCTTCAGAATCAGGGTGTCCTAAATTCTCGGCCTGTCAGCTTTTTTCCATTCTCAGGTATCACAAACAGCAAACAACCTTCCAACTCTAACATTAAAATATGAAAAAACAAAAGGTCCAATAGTGCCTCCCTGAGCTTACTATCTGGTAGGGAAAATGAGGTACAACTCCTTGGAGTAAAGGATAATATAAGGGGACCCCCCCAAAGCCCAGAGAAAGACTCCTAACTAGGACAAGTAAGAAAGTGTCATGTAAGCCATCACCAGAAGGTCAGTAAGAGCAGTGAGTGGAGGGGAACATGTGCTCAGGAAAGGACCCACAGACTGAGGCAGGAGCACTGTGGGCACTGCACTGGGAGTCAGCACTTTCATCAGAGGCAGCAAGTAGCTACCACCTGAAGGACTTTAAGCAGATGTCCATCCCTGGAGAAGGCTGTCCTGTCTGTGTGCTCCAGAGTGGCCTGAGGAGGGCAAGGCTGGAGGTAGATGGACAAAGCTAGCATGGCCGTCAAGGTGGCAAAGGATAGCACAGTCCAGGGCAGTACTGTTGACGACAGTGGTGGAAAGATGCCAAAAGCAAACAGGAGAAAGAGACACCAGGATGGGAGGACATATGGCTGGAGACAGGAGGAGATACACCTTGGGGAGAAGGGGGAGCCCCATTTCTGAGCACGATGTGTCTGAGGAGCCCGTCACCATCAGTGGCCTTCTCCAATAGGCAGATGTCATGATGGCACCAAGAGCTACAGAGGACACAGTGCCTCACGGCAGTTTCCCTTTGCCCGTGATTTTGCTCTCTGTGGGTTTGTTGCCGGAAGTCTGAAAATATTAAGTGGAAAATTCCAGAAACAAACAATTTGTAATTTGTAAATCGTGAGCCAGTCCTGAGTAGCACAATGAAATCTTGCTGTGTCCTGCCCAGGACTGAATCCTACCTTTGCCTGGAGTATCCCTGCTGCACCCACTACCTGCCCATCACTGGCTCAGCGCTCATCTCAGTCCCCAAACTGACCACTGCAGTGTCTTCAAGACACCCTATTCCATTTGGCAATGGCTCCAAAGTCTAATAGCAGTGATGTTGACATATCATTATAATCACTTTATTTTATTATCAGTTATTGGGTTAATCTTTTACTGTGCCTAATTCATAAATTAAGCTTTATTATAGGTCTGTATGTATAGGAAAAAGCCAATATATACAGGGTTTGGTACCACCTATGGTTTCGGGAATGGAATGGCAGTCCTAGAACACATTCCCCACGGGCAGAGTTGGGGGACTATGGTGTTACATACCAGACATTGCTCAATGCTTCACATTCATTAACTCAAAATCAACTTGGCATCTGTAGCTCAGCGGCCAGGGCACCAGCCACATACACTGGAGTTGGTGGGTTCAAATCCAGCCCAGGCCTGCCAAACAACTACAACTAAAAAATAGCTGGATGTTGTGGCAGGTGCCTATAGTCTCAGCTATGTGGGAGGCTGAGGCAAGAGAAATGCTTGAGCCCAAGAGTTGGAGGTTGCTGTGAGCTGTGACACCACAGCACTCTACCGAGGGTGATATAGTGAGACTCCGTCTCAAAAAAAAAAAGAAATCTCAAAATTATTCCATGAGATAAGAACTATGCCTTTACCCTGATTTTATACATGAAAATAGACATAAAAAGGTCGCAAATACTGCTCAAAGCCACGCAGCTGGCCAGGCCGTGTGTCTGGACTCAGGGTCTTTAGCACGGCCTCACTCTGCTCTTCCAGAGCCTGCTGCTGCCTCCTGCTCACAGCTCTGAGGCTCAGTGAGAACACAGGGCTGGCTCGGGAGCACCGAGCACATAGGAATACATAACAACATCCCAGCAGGGCACACAGAATGCACAAAGGGGCTCAAGTCAGACCCCATGCTCTGGCACAAGAGAAGCCTGCAGGGGAATGGGTGTGGGCAGAAAGGCAGGAGACCCCTAGGAGACGGCGGGACCATGAAAAGCAACAGAGAAAAGACTCTGAGGCAGCGGGAAAGTGAAATACCAATGCAGCTGGGCAGTCAGGAAAGATACATGTGATACACTGGCTTGATTTCACTTTTCATGGCAAGGGATAGCCAGCTACAGCCTGTTGTGGTTTCTTTAGACAGAGTCTCACTTTGTTGACCAGGCTAGAGAGCCATAGCGTCATAGCTCACAGCAACCTCAAACTCCTGGGTTCAAGTGATCCTCCTGAGGAGCTGGAACTACAGGTGTCCACCACTATGCCTGGCTAGTTTTTCTATTTTTAGTAGATATGGGGTCTCCCTCTTGCCCAGGCTGGTCCCAGACTCCTGAGCTCAAGTGATTCTCCCACCTTGGCCTCCCAGGGTGCTGGGATTAAAGGCATAAGTCGCTGTGTCCAGACTACAGCCTGTTTCTGTATGGACCAAGGCCCAGGCCAGCTAAACAACAATGACAACTGTAGCAAAAAAAACCCAGCCAGACACTGCAGTGAGCGCCTGTAGTCCCAGGTACTTGGGAGGCTGAAGCAAACTAATCACTTAAGCCCAAGAGTCTGAAGTTGCTGTGAGCTGTGATGCCCCAACACTCTATCAAGGGTGACACAATGAGTCTCTGTCTCAAAAAAAAAAAAAATCCTTTAGGATAACTTGAGACCTTGGCAGGGGGACATGGGGCACGATAACCAGACCATAGGTTACTGGGAAAGACTAAGGAATAATGGTGAGAGAAGGCAGCTCTTTCATGTCTCACTACCAAAGAGCTTCCAGGGGGCAAGGGAAGAGGAAGGTGTCCTGTACAGACAAAAGACACGTGAGCATTTGATTTTTTTATTTTTTGAGACAGAGTCTCACTTTGTCACCCTTGGTAGAGTGCTGTGGCATCAGAACTCACAGTAACCTCGAACTCTTGGGCTCAAGAGATTCTCTTGCCTCAGCCTCCCAAGTAGCTGGGACTCCAGGTGCCTGCCACCATGCCTGGCTATTTTTAGAGATGAGGTCTCACTCTTGCTCAGGCTGGTCTTGAACCTGTGAGCTCGGACAATCCACCTGCCTCAGCCTCCCAGAGTGTTGGGATTACAGGCGTGACCCACCATGCTGGCCTATGTGAGCATTTTAAAATGCAAACAGGAGGAAGCCATGGAGAGGGAATGGATGAAATACAGGAGAGAGAAGCTGTTACTGAGCCAGACTTCTGTTAGAGCGGAGAAGGGTACAGGATCCAGAACACAGACAAGGATGAGGACACCAGTTCTGAGGTAACAGGGACGCAGGAAAGGGTGGCTACAGACAAGGTCGTGAATCTGCAAGCAAGGAGGTGAGGGATATCCAATTTATGGCTCTGTTTTCTCCAAGTCATCTACTGGCAGCAAGACGGAAATGGCAGGATCAGGGATTTCGGGAACAGGAGGAAGTTCTGAAATGTCTGTAGCAAAGATGGAGTGTGCTGACTACAGAAAAACACAGAGGCAGAGCAGCCTCAGACACTCAGTCACTGCTGCAGACCCCAAGTTTCATTCATGTGGCCTGCAAACCACATGCCACAAGCATTTCCCAGCTAATGGAACGTACCCCTCCAAGACTTTATAAATTCTGATGGGCATTTAAAATGGATTATTGCTCCCCTACCTTTTGAAAAGAGCATATTTATGGAGTGGTTAAACACAGGCGTCAGAGTCAGAGCCCTGGGTTAGAACCCACACTCCGTTACTTACCAGCTACGTAATTTTACCTGAATTAATTTAACCTCCATTACCTATGGTATAAAATGGGATCTCACTACCTGCCTCTGTCATGAGATTTATAAAACAGTCTAGTTGAGTGGCAAGAGAAAGATCTCATAAACAGTAAGCACATCCTATTAGCAGCAGCAGTATTTTGCTACCCCACGTTACTAGCTCTGGCTCAGCTTCATGGCAGGATGGAGTCCAGGGATGTGGATATTCGAGATACTTCCACCCAGCTGCCTTATGAACCAAGTGACCTGGACGGGATGCTCTAGGTACCAAAGGTTCAATCTGCAGAATGAGGGGATTTAACTGATCACTGCAAAACTCCAACACCTGGAGGCTGAAGTAAGAGTATCACAGCATCCAGGCTGAAATGAGCTATGATCATGCCACTGCACTCCAGCCTGGGCAGCACAGTGGAACCTGTCTCTTAAAACAATAACAACAACAACAAAAATACTCCCACCACCTCTCTCATTTGTGTGATATGGCTGACGATGCTCTGCACCGTGAAAATACGACCTTTCATCAACTACACTGCTTGCTGTACAGCTCTGTAGTCAAAAAGACTTGAGTCTGAATCCCGCTCTTATTCCAGAATGAACTAAAGTTACCTAGCATCTCTGAGCCTCGGTTTCCTTATCTAAAAAACAGAGTGAACAAATTGTAACTTATGAAACTGTAGCAATCTAACGCAAAGCACGCAGACCAGAGCCGTCAGCGCTCACTCCCCCCCTGCACCTGTCCCGGGCCGCCCGGCAGCAAAGTGCGAGCGCAGCGCTGCAGGGCCTGTCCTGAGCCCTCGGTCCAACGCAAGTGGCCAGTCTCGCCTTCCCGAATCACAAACTTAGAAGAACCACCTGGGATCGTCATTAAAACCCCCCGTGACTAACTTCGTTCTTGGGTGACACCTGTTCACAGCCCGCGCCCTCAAAGTCGCCCTGAGCACTACTGCAGACCGCAGACGCAAACTCAGGTGTGAGGACGCAGGACGCAGAAAGATTCCAGCAGGCCTCAGGGTCCGAAAGTCTGGGTGGGAACCGGAGCGCGCAGCTCGCAGGAGCCGGACGCGGGCGCTCGGGCACCAGCTGGGTCCCCGCCTCTCCGGACTCCCGGCCCCGCCGCCTGCGGGCAACGGGCTGCGGCGACAGCACCCGAGCGTGTCCACACCTGTGGTCCCGCGCCCGAGTCCCGCTCACCTGGAAGTGCTCCTGGACATAGACAGGGAGGGTGTGCGCCATGCCTGGCGCGGGCCGGCAGCGCGTGCAAAGAAAGCGGCCACTCCTGGGAACCCGCCGCTGGGAGCGAACCGAAGTGGCCGCGCAGCCGCACTGCCCCTACCGCGCAGCGCCGCCGCCTTGCGCACGCGCCTCCGCCGGCCCCAGGGTCCGCAAATAGTTCCGCGGCTGCCGCACTTTGCTCCAGGGACCCAGTGCGCGCGTGCGCTGGCCTTGGCTGCTGCCCGCGGCGGGAAATGGGAAAGGTGGGCCTGGTGTGGGGCTGCCCTTGCAGGTGCCCAGGGCAAGTGTGCTCGGGAAGGTGGACACGGGCCTCGCAAGCGCCCAGGGCAGGCGTGTGCTGGCTGGGGTGGGTGCAGGCTGACCCCAGCCAGTTCCCTGAGGGGAGGGTTTTCAGGAGAGGTGAACCAAGTTATGGGGCCTCTCTCGCCCTGGGGCTTCCACGTGTAGAGAGGGGCAGTGGTGGTAGGTCTCACCTCGGACTCTGAACTTTTTCTTCCAGGCATAGATGTGACAATATGGGAAGGGGCCTTGGAAGTACAGAGACACGCCGCGTATGGACATTTCAGCCAACGAAGGACTCTGTCTAATGGTCCCATAACAGCTGCAAAATTCCTGTCCTCTAGCAAAGTGGCGTTGCCTCTCCATGTTTAGAAACACAAATACGAGTACTTACCATCGCGTTCCAACTGCCCACGCTGTTCAGGACAGTAACGTGCTGGGCAGGTTTGCAGCCTGGGAGCGGCAGGCCAGACTGTAGGGCCCGGCTGTGTCGTAGGCTGGGATTGTTTAAGTTACTCTCTGAAGCCAGCACAGCAGTGCCTTTCTCAGAATACGTGTGGCTCAGCCACTGTTCCCCCAGGAAGCATCTTTCCTGGCTGGTGCGATTTCTGGAGAACGCTGTGTCAGAACGTCAATGTGAGAATTCTCAAAGACCGGGTAGTAGCAGACGATCAACCTAAGGCCAGCGAGATCCCCTGGCGGCCTGGGGTAGGGCAACAGCGCAGCAGGCGGGGGCTGGAGCCCATACCTGGTTTTCCCAGCAACCATTGGTTTTTCTGGGGCAGCGTTTCAAGATGCGTTTTTTGTGCAGATAATGAAGCTGTATAAAAAACGTCTGTTAAGCAAGAGCAGCCCTGGGCATCAGTCCTTTCACCACAACCCCCTCCCGACTGACAGCCTTTCTGCTCTTTCTCATATGGCTCACTGTTAATTTTAAGAGATGAATGGTCCACTGTGAACAGCACAGTGATGCTGCAATTATTTATGCAATAGCTTGACCATTTAGTAGCCAAAAATTTGTTAAAGAATACAGCAGACTTCACCTTCAAATTAAATCTCTTTTCCAGTAGTAGCCAAGACTTTTGCAGCCTACCCTTTCATCCACATCTGTGTGGCCTCATCCCCTAAAAATAGAGCAGAGTCTTGCCTAGGGGTAGTATTACATTTCCCAGATCTCTCCGTTTTGGCAATAATGCCTATAATCCCAAGTATTCTTTGCCTCAAATATTCCATAAATCTTTCACTAGTAGTAGTATCATTCCCTAAATCACTTTCCCCAGGGATTTTTTTTTGGGGGGGGATAAGAACTAAAAATTTGTATCTTAAAGAATTTAAAGAAAATTATAGTTAGCAAAATGACAGAATTGTTAATAAGTCAAGACCTCACCTGCTATCTATACTTGTAAAGGAACTAAATGTTCTGATCTGAAAAGGATTTTAATGTTGTCACCACTTGTGGGTAAGTCGCCAAGAAATCCTGAATAAAAGCTTCCAGTCCTTTGTGGTGATTTCTTATCTTTTCTATAGAAATTGAGAGCCCCTACAACTCAGTAAGACAAACAACCAGCAGAAAAATGGGTGAAAACACCTGAACAAATTAGTCACAAAGAAGAAACACAGTTGTCTGTCTGTATCTGTGGGTTCCACGTGTGCAGATTCAAACAACCACAGATTGAAAATATAGTTAGGCCTACAATGATTTGATCTGTACTGAACATGTACAGGCTGTTTTTCCTTGTCATTATTCCCTAAACAGTACAGTATAACTAAACTATTAACAGCATTTATGTTGCATCAGGTATTATAAGTGACCTAGAGATGACTTAAATGGGCAGATGTACGGAGGTTATATGCAAATACTACACCATATAAGAGATTTTAACCCCAGATTTTGGTATTGGGGGGGTTCTGAAACCAATCTCTCACAGATTCTGAGGGATGACTGTACAACTGATTCTTAAACATGAAAAAAAGCCCAACTTCATAAGTAAAAGACAAAATACATTGGTTATAAATATTATATAGTATAATTTTTTTAACCTATCAGATCAGGCCATGCTTGGCAGTTCATGTCTATAATCCTAACACTCTGGAAGGCTGAGCAGGGAAGGATGGCTTGAGCTCAGGAATTGGAGACCAGCCTGAGCAAGAGCAAGACCCTGTCTCTATTAAAAATAGAAAAACTAGCTGGGCATTGTGGCAGGTGCCTGTAGGCCTATCTATCTGGGAGATTTGGGAGGCTGAGGAAAGAGGATGGCTCAAGCCCAAGAGTTCGAGGTTGTTGTGAGCTATACCTGGGGCAACAGAGTGAGACTCTGTCTCCAAAAAAAGAACAAAAAGTGAGACCCCCCCATCTCTACTAAAAATAGAAAAAAATGGTGGGCATTATGGTAGGTGCCTGTAATCCCAAATACTCAGGAGGTTGAGGCAAAAGGATCGCTTGAGCCCAAGAGTTTGAGGTTGCTGTGAGCTATAATGCCATAGCACTCTACCCAAGTTGATAGAGTCTCTGTCTCAAAACAAAACAAAACAAACAAACAAACCAAAACCTTTGATAATAATGTGTTGACAATGATATAAGGAGGACAATTTGGTAACATTTATGCTTTAGTATTCTACCTAGGGTATCTGTCCTACGATTATTCTTGCAGGCCTCCACCCTACAAATAAAATTCTAAGGAAAATGAGTAGCTCAAGATAAAATAATAATAACAATAATAATAATCACTTGAAGAAACACGGTACCACAAGTAAGAAGTAGGAGAACCAAGAGGCAAAGACTGACCCATAAGGATGGAGATAATGAAATCATCACAGACTTTAAATTGCTATCACTAATATTTGTGAAGAGCTAAATGTCAAGATTAAAAATACATGTGAGAAAAAAATACGAGCATAAAACTTGAAACTATAGAGAAGGACCAAGCAGATTTGACAAAGAACAAAATAGAAATCCTAGAAATAAAAAAACACAGCAGAGTACAGTAAAGCTTTGGCATAACACTGTAAGTGCCAAATGTGGAATCATGTTGTAAATAAAAAAAGAGTAGAGCAGGCGGCACCTGTGGCTCAGTGAGTAGGGTGCCAGCCCCATATACCAAGGGTGGTGGGTTCAAACACAGCCCTGGCCAAACAGCAACAAAAAAACAGCCAGGCATTATGGCGGTGCCTGTAGTCCCAGCTACTCGGGAGGCTGAGACAAGAGAATTGCCTAAGCCCAGGAGTTGGAGGTTGCTGTGAGCTATGACGCCATGACATTCTACTGTGGGTGACAAAGAAAAAAAAAAAGAGCAGAGGAAGGGCAAGGATGGGAACTCTATCCGCCAGAACCCAGTCAGAGACTACCTTAGTCTTTTTGTGCTTCTATAACAAAATATGCCACAGACTAGGTAATTTATAAACAACAGAAATTATCTCTTACAGTTCCAGAGGCTGGGAAGTCAAGATCACATGCCAGTAGGTTAGGTGTCTGGAGAAGGCCTGTTTCATAGGTGGGATTTTCTTGGATTGTCTTCACATGGTAGAAAATGTGGAAGGGGCCACTCACCCGCCTCAAACCCTTATTATGTCATCAATCCCATTCACAAAGGCAGAGCCCTCACAGCCTGCTCACCTGAAAGCCTGACTGCACTGGGGATTAAGTTTCAACATGAATTTTGGAGAAGATACAAAGATTCAAACCATAGAAAAGACAGAAACCACACCAGTTACTTGAACAGAGAGAATAGAATATAAATGATAGTTATCAGAATTTAAAGTTGTTGGCTCAGCGCCTGTCGCTCAAGTGGCTAAGGCACCAGCCACATACACCTAAGGTGGTGGGTTTGAATCCAGCCTGGGCCCGCCTAACAACAACGATGGCTGCAACCAAAAAATAGTCGGGCGTTGTGGCGGGCACCTGTGGTCCTACTTGGGAGGTGGAGGCAGGAGACTTGCTTGAGCTCAGGAGTTGGAGGTTGCTGTGAGCTGTGATGCCACAGCACTCTACCCATGGAGACAGCTTGAGGCTCTGTCTCAAAAAAAAAAAAGATATAAAGTTGCTAACTAGGTAACTGGAAGGATAAAAAACAAACTCCAAGCTATGGAGGTCCAAACATAGGAAGCAGCTATCACCCCTAGAACTCAGGATGAATTGGAAGGTGAGATTATTACAGTTTATAGCAGTGATTTTTCAATCAGTGTGCTGTAACCAGGAGAGGATCTCAGGTGTGTCACAAACATTTTAAAAGATCATTTTCAAAATTAGTTCAAAGCACAGTTAGTATATTGGTTTTTTCTTTAATTTTTTAAATCAACATAATTTAAGTGTGCCTCTGAAGTTTAACAACAGGATCAAATGTTCTGTAAGATAAACTTCTAAAACATTGGCTTAGAGAAAAGGCCCTGAGGAGCTGGAATTCAGACCCCTAGGGAGGGGTATTAGCAGCGGCACTGGGATCTGAGCCCAGCCTACAGATGAGGGCCAGCTGTGGAGCTGGAGCAAGACGTCTGGGGAGGGCACTGGGTACAGGAGGCTTTGACGTGTGGAGGCTGGTTCTGCAAGTCTTAGACAAACTTCAAATGGGATTCAGTTTCTTCTGTGGGAAGAATTGTTGGTGCCTTGTTGAATAAGTGTGGCTGGGATGATGATACCCACAGAGCTGGCCCTGCAATGTCTCTCCATTAACTGTTGGCAGAGTCTAACAGAACCATCTCTCAAGCAGAAATATGGTTCTTAGAGT